TATTTAAAACCCCGTGACTTGCCCCACACAGATCAGTATTTTCCTGTCACTGCAGCTGTGCTCCTGCTTCCCGTTTTCCCCCAAGTGTGCTCGCCCACCAACCATAACAATGGCAGCCCCACAGCATGTCGAGCTGGCACCACAGGCTCCTCCAGCTCATGACAGAGAACATGAGCACAGGCTGAAGGAACAACGGAGCCAGGAGATGGAAGCCTTTAAATCAAGGTTGCCCAGCGTCAGAGACCATGGGAAAAACACGTAGTCTCTTTATTTAGTCTTGCCCTTCTTTATTTAGTCTTTTTCTACATAAACTACTCTGTTCACAATTTGGATACCTGTAACATTGCCCATAAGAGTGATTATTAAATAATTAATAATTTATTAATAATTCCCTGACAAGACAGGGATGGGAGTCTCCTGGGGAAATATACTTTCCTCATGTTTCTTGTGAAGATGTCAGCTGTCTACCTTAATTGCACAGATACAAAGCCAAACTCTATTGACGTCAGTGCCGTTGGCTGTGTTTTATTAATATCAGATAGGTCTAAGAATCAGTAGCAAGCAAAAATTCAGAGAGAAAAATACAACGCCCACACAAACCTCCAGTTGAGGAGTTCCTGGTGCTGATGCTTCCCTGATTTGCAATGTATGTCTGCATAACCCTAGGCTCAGACCAGACCTCTCCTTTGCATCCCCCTCCTTCTTGAGAATGAAAATACTGTGCGGAAAAGGCATCTAACCCCACAGTAATAAGGTTAACAGTGAAAAACACAGCACTCCAGCTCCAGTCCCAGAAAATGTCAGTGTCCAGGGAGCAGGAACAGGCTCTGCAACCTCTCCCCTCACCACGCAGGCGTGTGGCTGCCTGCGTTCAAGGCCAGCTCCAGTACGGTGCAGCGAGTAACCTTGGATCTGAGCAACACGGCAGGAGTAGTGTGAGAAAGAGCAGGAGAAGCCCAGCCTGGGGCCTCCTCACCTGGGCACTGGGCCCCTGTAAAGCTTGGTACCCGCATGGGCATGCCTGCGCCCCGCCTTGGGCCTTGCTGATCCTGGTCTTACCTTACTGACCCAGCTTCCAGGCTTTACCCTGGACCTGCCCTGTCATGACGGATTTGCATGGCCAGCAGTGGAAGCTAATGGCATCCCATTCACAGAAAGCCCGGGCACAGCTTTGTGCTGAGGCTAAATTACTAGAGAGCCGTAGGTATTTAGTAAGCACCAACTCTGGGTCATGTGCAAGTAGAGAAATGGATGTCTGGAAAAGATGGTTTAACATATATTGGATTTCCCTGACATCACAACAGGAGGAACCATTTCCTCTGTTTTACTGGCAACGGTTGGGTGAACCCGTTTCTTGGGTTCCTAACCCAAGATATACAAGGTTTTTTTCTTTTTCCTCTGATAAACATCAAGGAGTTGCAGAATTTTACCAAATTAAAAGCAACATAACCTGAGTTCTGGGGCTGCGTCCTTGATGGATGTCAACTGGAACAGCCATGGAGATATCCTGGTGCTGGTCCATGCTAGGTATGGAAGTGATCATAGAATCGTAGAATGGTTTGGGTTGGAAGGAACCTTAGAGACCACGGAGTTCCAACCCCCCTGCCATGGGCAGGGACCCCTTCCACTAGACCAGGTTGCTCAAAGCCTCATCCAGCCTGGCCTTGAACACTTCCAGGGAGGGGGCATCCACAGCTTCTCTGGGCAACCTGGGCCAGTGCCTCACCATCCTCTCCAGGAAGAATTTCTTCCTGACACCCAATCTAAACCTCCCCGCTTTCAATTTAACCCGTTATCCCTTGTTCTGTCACTACAGGCCCTTGTAAAAAGTCCCCCCCAGCTTCCTTGTAGCCCCTTCAGGTCCTGGAAGGTGAAAAAAGGCCTCCCCGGAGCCGTCTTTTCTCCAGGGTGAACAAGCCCAACTCTCTCAGCCTTTCATCATAGGAGAGGTGCTCCAGCCCTCCGATGTCCTGGGAAAGCTGGTCAGCGGCCCCAGAACAGCTCCTCACCAATTCCAGGACCAGAGACAGACTCTGACACCTCTGTGGCAGCAAGACCATTGTCTTCCGAATGAAAAACATTGACAACGCCAGCAGCCTGTCAAGCATGTAAACAAACCCAGTGGCCCCAACAGCTTCATAAGGCTTAAACTGAAATCTAAGCATGCAAACAGTATCTCACAGGTTAGACTTTGAAGAGCGTTGTTTTCAGGCTGCTTTTTATTGTCTTTATTTCTGGGTTTTCTGTTCCACATCTTCATCATTCAGCGGTGTTACTGAATACCAAGGAGTCAATCCTCAGCAGCAGCACTCTGAGGCTCTTTCGGAATAATTACTCAAGCAGAAAATAGCTGCCACAGCTTGGAAGACTAATTGGTGGGCCAGCTACTTTTGTTCCATCCCTCCTTGCCATTTCCGTTCGCCGGCTTCACTGGGAGCCCATAATTGCTGTGATCTTTACTACTACGCTGTAGCTGGCCCCAGATGAAAGGACAGCTTCGTTACAGAACACCACGTTAACTCCTCTCCAGCGGTACCTCTTCTTTTGGAACATCAAGGTTCAGAGCTTGCACGACTGGCGTACACCCACATACTAAGCAGGATTTATTAGGGTTATAAACCAACTCTCTCAGCTCTGTGGTACATCTGGCCAGCAACAAACCAACCCAGCTGTTTGACTTGGGTGGAGACTGGGATCTTTTAGCGAGTATCTCAGCCCAGAGGATGAGGAAGATCTCGGTGGGGAGGCAGGACACCCTCGTGGTAACGCCTCCCGCAAGCAGCCCTGCCGAACGAACCGCACCCTGTTCAAAAAGCTGACCTCTTTGGGAGTAGCTACGCCGGCTGAGGCAGGCGCCGCCGCAGCC